AATTGCTACTGAAAAGTACAGGTGCAAAAACATTTAAAGTTCTGAAAATGATTTATATATAAATAACAGCTTCTTCAAAGATTTATGCATTATCTACATATAAAAATCTGACTTTAGAAAAGTTTGTTTTCCCAGGGTAAAACTAGTCAGTATAAACTGGTATGTAGCATAACGATGGGCCTTCTTTTAAATTGAATATTGCAGCAAACTCACATTGCCTGCACTGTAGTACAGTGAAAGACAAACACGGCTTGTTATTTTAAAGTAGCACCATAAAAGAACAGATATGAAAAACTAAAAAACTGAATATGAACACAAATTCTAGGCAGCATAAAAACTTCCAAAAGAAGCTAAAAGGGAAGAAAGATCTAGGAGGAGTAGAAGATGGAGAGACTGAATTAGCAAACTTTGTGTTTTTGTGGGCTTGGCAATGGAAGGATCCCAAAGGAGAGCTAATGACTGTAGTGGTATCTGGCATGAGGACCAAGTTTCCTTGACCATATTTAAGTTGCTTTTAGTCCATAGCCACAAAGTCATAAGCAACATCTGCTGAGGTATCTTGCAATTATAGCATTATCAAAGTCTTTCCTCCCATTTAGTTCCACTGTGCAGGATACCGCTCAGAGGATTTGACCAAAGTTTTGCCCGACTTAAAGAAACCATCCTGACAAATAAAAAAAACATTTTCACTAAATGGGTGGGTGGTGAGGGGGAACTATATTTTTGGAAACGTATATCATTTAACAAATCAAGGTTGAACTCTGTAACCAGATTCTTTTGTGGAGCCGATTGAAATAATCATAAATATTCAGTCTTTCTGCAGAGAGCAATGATAGTTTTTATCAGCTTACAACTCAGCCAATGAGGTTATTATTGGTATGAATGCAGAGAAGCAGACAAAGAGAGTTTCTCTCCTGCAGCTGCACTCAATGCTCCACAATTAATTGCTATGCTCAGTATAAACTAGCGTTCTTCATATCGGTATGATGTGGTCATAAAACTGTCAGATGCCTTTGTTCAAAAACTTAATAATACAGAAATGTTGACATCCTATTTATACTCACTGAACAGTTCCCAGCTGTGAGAGGTATGCACTCTCCATCAATCGACGCAAGTCAATTTAGGGGAAATTAACTTTGATTATTGATTGTTAGGGCTGGGTAAAAAAAATCGATTTAATCAATTTTGAATCAATTCCTTTACATTTTTGCAAAATCGATGTCTAAGAAATGAGATCGATTTGTTTTATAGTGACCCGCGTGACGTTCACATTCAAATGAGCAGGAAAGATGCTCTCAAGATGACTTCAAGCCAGACAGCTGCATATATAGCAAATAGTTTGACTGAATATATTAACAAATGGGGGCTGACCAGAAAACACCCTGTAGTTGTTACAGACAACGCTGCACATATGGTTTGTACAGTGGAGATAATGCAGCTCATGCATGTCTGCTGTGTCCCCGCTGTGTCACTTCTGTTTGCTCAAGTGAGGCTTCACTTTTTAACTTTTCATAAACAAGTTTGCACTTTTGAGACAGTTTTGTTCACATCTCAAGTTTAAACTGTCCGATTTACAAGTTTGCACTTATAATGTGACGGGAAAAAAATAAAATACATGAGTACACAGTTGAACCACTTTCATTAATATAGAAACAGATTGAATCGAAATTAATCGATTTAAAACTGTATGAATCAAAATCGAATCGATTCACGACTTTGGTGAAAATACCCAGCCCTATTGATTGTTCTTCACTAAAAATATAAATATAAATGAAAATATGAAGAAAATGGGGCCCGTAACCTTTTATACAGTGCAAAAAAAAAGAAGGAAAAAAAAGGACATAAGTGAGCCATCATCTGTAAGGCTGTAAATTATATTATCAACTTTTTTTTACTTTTATATGTACTGGTACTTTTGACCAATACCTAGAAAGTTCAACATTTTTATTGGGTCGTTTTTTAGAAACTAATCATGAATCAGGCTTAGATCAGAGGAAACCGGACTTTAGTACCTTTTCTGAAAAACATATATGCCGGATTATTTGTCAAATCTGGTGGCTTCCAGTAGATCAACCTGTTCTTGGAGCTACTTATTTTCAACCACCTGGAGTAGGGCTGAAACATTTAATCGGATTAATTGTGAATAATCGATTATTGAAATAATAATAGCTAATCATTTAGCTAATGATTAGCTAAATAATCATTAGTTGCAGCCATAACCTGGAGGCCCATCCTCAGAAAGCTTGGTTGCCTCCAAATCAAGCCTGTTTTTGTGGTTGCCTTAGGCCGGATGACTGACAATTTGCACAGGCATGTTAAGAAACTAATGTCTATTTTTATATAAAGACTTTTAATGCTGACACAATTACATGTTAAGTTTATATAGAAAGTGGAAAACTGTATTTTGCTATTTGCTGCTCTCATAGGGAAATACAATTGGTTCTGGAGGGAGAAAACATTACAGTATTGGTTTTGAGACATTGTCTAAAAAATCCCTAAAAGATTCATCACTAAACTTGGATTATCATCAGAGTTTCTGTATAAATATATTCAGTTATAACAGGAACATACAGAAAGGGTTTAAGGATGATGGAGAAAAAATGAAAACATGCATAAGTTCCCTCAACTTAAAACTATAACTAGAGTTAAAAGAAAAGAAATGGCTGCTCCGTGGGGGAACAACAGTAGGGCATGATGGCCGCTCCTCAGAACTAAAACTCTGTGACATATCATCCGCCTGAAGTGCCCCGAACAGCAGAGGTGTGACCAGATTTTATTGTCTTGGCATGTGAAAAAGACAAGGAGCTGCTTTGCCTTGATAGATGGGGGCCAACTGGGAAAAGTGACACTGTGAATAAAAGGAGCTGTGTCCCACCATAAAACACTGGAGCCTCCCAGATTTCACATGCACACATTCCCCTTTGAATTAGTGTAGAGATGTGTTTGTGTGGAGAGATAACAGGGAAGCAGTGGCACAAGTATATACAAGACAACTTTCAACAGCCTAATGAAAAGCTACGCATCTAGGCCTTTATTAATCTTTTTTCCTTTTTTAGTAGTTTTCTAAAATGCAGTGGAGATGGTGTGGTGGAAACCGTGAAGCGACTCAGACTCTTTCCCCTGTAATTTTAATCCTGACTAAGTTAAACAAAAGTAACAAAGACTACAGAGCGATGAGGCATGCATCTACACCAGAACTGCTGAATCAGATTTTGGAAACCACCATCAAGGTGAAAGAGCAGGTCGGGGCTAGTAGATGCAGAAGAAACACAAACCGTCACCCTGCCGTGCCAAGACAGATCATGGAAGAGGCTAATTACATGTGCAAGAAGTCTCCAATATCTAGGGCTAATGGTGATGGATTGTTTGTGACAGAGGAAGACTAGCTTATGAATTTCCAAAAGAAACCATCTGTTATGACATAATAAGAGTGTACCTCTACACAAATTTACAGCTAAAAGGGAGAACGTATTCGTATTTAACTCTTCCTAAAGCCAGAAGCTTAATGATGGCTGCAGGAGTGTGGAGCTGATGTCATGTTACATGTGAGCATGTCATTTATAATCACACTATTTTTCCCCAGACTCTTTCTAACATCTATAAAACCTAAGGTCTTTTATTTTAAGATTTATTTGAGATCAAAGTGCAGTTGTTATAGGCCAAGTAACAGCAGGGGTAAAAATCTGACCTATTGATACAGCCTTTAGTTGACTCTCATCCCTAAGAACTTCATCAGAAATCAAAAGAGCAGATTTTCAATTTTTTTTTTCCCTTAAAAAATAATTCATATTTGAATCAGAGACATTTAGCTATTATTTTAAAATTTTAGCATTAGAGGAAGTGATCATTAAAAACTAAATTACACACAGGTCAGCCTCCGTTTATTTTCATAGATCTTTAGCCCTGATAGGCTGCACACATCTCCGAAGGGCTGGTTAATCTCCCGCAGTGTGTCGCAGTGAGCTTATTGCAGATATTTTTGATTTATGCCAAATATTGAGGCGTGGTTTGCGCTATAATATGCCACGCCACAACGCAAGTGGGACAATCACGACCTAGCTGTGGGTCTAGATACAACCGAGGCGGTGAGGAAGTGAGGAAGTGAGGAAGAGGCAAGTTTGTGCGACAATGGAGGGACACGATGGTGAAAAAGATCGGGGATTCAGGTGGGAAAAGGGTCTCGGCGTTTCTGCGTACCTCGCTCTTCTAGCTAGTCCTACAAACAAAACAAGGGCGGTAAGGTACCAAACCGGAGATACGCATAGTGTAGAGCGGATGTAGATTTGACCAATCAGAGGCCTCCTGTCTGCAGCACTGTCTCCGGTCACCTACAATTTTGGAGAGGTGCAGCAGAGTGTCTGCTGAAGGGGCGGGGCATATTTGCTTTCACTGTGACACACACGCAGATGACATTTGTTTCTGATTATAAACCAGCCTTAAGTCCTGCATATTCCAACAGCAAAAGAGTAAAACTGAGCTAAGATTTTCTGGACCCATCCATGGCTAACCTTAAACCAGTTACAGACTCCACTCTAAATAAGGATGCAGTAATTGTAAATGGCTGTGCTTATGTATGGTGTGTTTTCAAGACTAAAGTTTACTTGACAATTGAAATGTTATGTCATTACATTTTAGGAAGCGATCATGTTGAATTATCCTTCACTTAACTGAAAATTTTATTTACCAGTAAAATTGAAAAAAAAAATGAAAACATGAGAATTCAAAGACCTTAATCTGCACTATAAGCCAAATATCATTATAGAACAGTGACCAATGGGTGAAATGCTATAACAGATATCTTTAGAGTGTAGGTTGTTTTGTTTTTTGGAAGATTAAGATAAATCCTGAAGTTAAACATTATTTCATGTTATTATAATTAATCTGCTACTCAGTTTGGTTTGTTTGGTTACTGTCATGCTTTAGTTTTATTTTATCTTTTTCTTGGATATCCATTTATAAACTTCAAAAAACAATGACATCAAATACAGACATGAACATACCTGAATCCTTCTTGCTCCCTTTGCCTCCATCTCTATTCTTCTTCAGCACTGCCTTGAACATGACAGGGTTCCTGGAATCCTCTCTTTAAGGCCCCTGAGGGAAAAGTGCAAACAGTCAAATGCTTTCATATAGAGTCACACCTGCAAAACATCTATTGCTCCTACAGGAACACTGAGAAAAGTCTCCTGCAAGACAACAAGTTTCTTTATTTAAAGTGATATTGTTCATGTACCTGTATATAAGAAGCTCCAACTATGCAAGATGTTTATCCAAAGCAACATCAACAAATTAAACCCTTACCATAAAAACTCTGACAAATCTCTGGGTAAATGTTATATAAATTGAGTTTTCCCACTGCACTCCTAAACCTGCAAGTCATCAGCGGAGGGAAGCATGGAAAGAATGCTTCAATATTTGAACAGAAAAGGACAAGTTCTGTTATCTTGTTCTACAGGAAAACACTTAGTCGAAGGCCCCAAATTCCACACACACAATTGATGTTATGTGCCAGAACTACGAGGATTTTATTTAATATCTATTGCTCTTAGAGACTCCTGTGCTTTTAGAGTCCTTAGTGTTAAGAAATATACTCAAAGTCTAGTCAGGCTAAGTTTGTTTACATTGGAACTATTCTTAGTCCTATGTTGTTGCACTGTGGTAAAAGCATTCCTAATGCAGCAGCAGCTTAAACAGTTAATTGCAGGGGATTTCTTTCTAGTTTCTTTAAAAAGCTCCTTTAAAATCACATTACCTTATGCAGTTTACTGCAAATAATAATAATAGCAGAGACATTTTTTTCCCCACTGAACAGACGTTTTTTTAACCAAATAAGGACAAACCAAAGAAAGCACACAGTTCTGAACCAGAGGGCAGTCTCTACATATCTCAGCGTTCCCCTTGCTGCTCAGGGACAGGCTATCGATCTGCCCTTTTTCATCTATGATGGTGTTAGATGAAACTCTGAAGCAATGATGGGTTAGTTGAGGGTTGTTGGGGAGCATGGCAGGACTTTAAATCATTTCAACTCATCCATCAATGCTGAGAAAATATACTCTACAGTAATTTGATGATTTCAAACCTGATTTGTTTGGCAAGGTCAGTTTGAGGTTGGCTGAATAGCTAAATCTAGCTCTTAGTTACTGGCATCCAAAATAAAACTTTTAATAATTTCAGAAATATAACATACAAGGAATTGGTAAATGTAACCTCATCTGCTCTATTGAGTGATCAGAGGTCAGATGTCTAATCATCAGATGCATCAAAAAACAAGAGCATCATTTAGTCAATGAGCACTACAAGCAAAGCCATAAACCTTAATCATGTTCTAATATTAATCCAAAGCGGGGGGGGATCAATTAAAAATAGATTTTGGGATGTGGAACACCTCCTGTCAGAGGCATCCAGGTGCAACCCAAAAAGATGAAGACTCCTCTTTATGTTGATGAGAAGCAGCTCTACTCCAAGGCCCTCTCAGATTACCGAACTCTTCACCCTATCTCCAAGGCAGTGCCCAGCCACCCTGCAGAGAAAGCTCATTTCAGCCACTTGTATCTGGGATCTTCTCGGTCACCATCCAGATTTCATGACCTTAGGTGATGGTGGGAATGTAGACCAACCAGTAAACTGAGATCTTTGCATGTTGACTCAAGCTCGCTCTATTCATTACAAGAGACCATAGTAGCGTCTGCATAATAAAAGAAGCCACACCAATCAGTTCACCAATCTTCCACTAAATTCTCCTCCCACTCATGAACAGGACTAACCTGGCAGTAGCCAAATATATACAGTATGTGTAGAACTGAGTTGAGTTCTACGTTATCAATCTGGGATGGCAGCCGTTGAGTCTGTCCATGACAAGGAGGGACGTTTAGTACAATACTTAAAGCTGGTTGGGTGACATCCCAGCTAGTACCCTTTTTTTGTGCAATATGTGTTGAACAAGAAAAGACTAAGAGGAAAAAGCTTCAAGATTTAAAAAAAATGACTAGAAATGCGTAGAGAAATCTACAACATGATATGTCTCCAGTGCGTTTAAACTTTTACCTATAGAGTATAGCAACAGGACACACAGAAAGTTGGTTGTTTACAAGTAGTATCTCTAACCATGCAGATCATGCTATTCGTAGATATGAAATGCTAAAACACATGAAAAAGAAAACGGTAATAAAGTTGTTTAAAATAATTAAACCATATATTGCGACAACTGCTTTCCGTCATACACACCTTGTAAGAATAACCTCAATTTCTTAAAGTGTAAATATACCAGAAATCAACTTTACAGTGCAAATGTTGACATTTACATGTAAAATTCTTAATTTCTGCCATAATTTTTCAAAAAAGGTATTTTAGTCCTGCCCCATATGGTTTACAACATGACTACTGCGATTTAATTTTCCTATTAGCATGTTAAAGCTTTACCAATGGACAAATAAAAACGATTTGTGCATCTATAAAAACTACCTCTAATTCAGGATAGTTTCAAACAAATCTAACAGCGGTTCATTTTCAAATTCTAACAGACTTCAGTGTTTATAGGCACGATCTGTTACAGTCTATTGGTTACTTGTTGAAATAGCTGAGCGGTGTGTGGGAGCATCCTGCTCATCTCCACAGTAACAACAAACAACACCCAGGATAAACCAAAGGAAATGAGATACGCCCTATTAAAACCTTAAACACCAACATGACTAATTCTTTCCATAACCTTTTCCCTTTCAAAGCCACCAGACACAGACTCGCACACACATATAGTATGCAACGCTAAGATTTACACAGCAATCAAATAAGCTATCGTCTACAGTGCCATCACATTTTAACAGATGACTGTCAGGGATGATTTAGACCCATTTAACAACGACATAAAGATTATAACATTAAACAAAACTAATTAATATGGGACACAGCTGTGACCTACCGTATATGAGAAAGTCTCCTCAGAGAGGAGCTGCGGGCTGTATGGTATGCAGAATGAAGGGTTTAAGATTCCTCAAGCTCAGGTCCATCCAATTACATTTAAAATGGGTTCAGAAACATGCAAAAGCCCCTTAGAAGGGGTCTTTCAATATTACAACAGTGAAAGTTTCAGAGAGACAGAGGTTCACGTGTTTTTTCCAGACACATGCTGGTGGAACACAGCCATAACAGACACTAAACCTTCACCTCTGCTAACAGAAACAGCAGCAACCAGTGGCTGCCTCTTTGGTTATTTAAAAAGAAGAAACACTGCAGCTGTTTCAACGTCTTTAGGGAGCTGGTGGCATTTTCATTCAAACATATTTCAGCAGGGGAGGCCGTTACTGTGAAAACGCCTCAGGTAATAATAAAGTGCAATGTTAAGACGGGTTCCTTTAAGGAAAGATAAACTGAAGTCTCCACTGGTTTAAAAAGTGCCCCGGGTCATCAGCGTGCATCTTTTCTGGGTCATTTCTCATGTGATACAGTTCAAATCCAAACAGACTGGGAAGAAAAGATCCTCACCTGCACATTGTTGACATGACATGGGGTTAATGGGGCCATACGGCTGCTCTAGTTATCTAAAAAAAACACCTATATATAGAGAGAGAGAAAATAGGATTGTTTGTCCAGAATGCCACTGGTAAGGAAGCATTTTTACCTCTAGCGGATACTGGTGAGTAAGCGTGAACTTTGTCCTCTATTAGGCGGCACACAACAATGAAAAGACTCAATCAAAACCACTCCCCTCCAAGTATTGAAGCAAACAGCTTTATCCCTTTTAAGTGCTCTGTTTCCTGTTGAAATGCTCTGCCAGCTATCTTCTTTAACTAGTTACACATGAATAATCATCATGCTAAGATTTCAACCCCGTTGGCATAGCAACATGGAAACTCTCAAAGTGACACGACCTTCAAAACGCTTAGATAAAGGCTGCAGAGAAGTGGAGCATTTAAATTCTCATGTGAACTACAAAATTATCTGTTCTCTTGTTGTCAATTCAATGAAGGGCAGGAAACAGCCAGCCTGGTCTGAGAGTTCAAGTGCTTCAAAACAATGGTGGAAAAAAAAAAATACATTTCAAACAGGAAGCTTGGGAACTAGTTATAAAGTAGAACACAGTCTGAATGTCAGCCGCTGTAAACAAGAGGTTATTATTCAGGAAGAAATTCAAAAGGTTTGATATTAATGCCAAAGAACTAGTTAGTTTGAATCCAGCTTCTCCTGCATTCATGTTTGAGAGGAGAGACATCAGCATTGCACAAAAGGAAAACATAAAACATAAAAAAAAAGACACTTGGTACCTTTTTAAAGAGTTATTTTACTAAAGGTCTTACAGGTACTCTACATTTACTATTCTCCATCTATTAGAATAGTAAAAAAGTACTGTTATATTGTTTCTGATCTACATTTAAAACACAGAGTACCTGTTCCTGTAAGAAACATGGATTTAAATCCACCCCCAGAGAGAAAGTAATACTCTAAAAGCAACTAGAAAAGGCCAGATTGCAATTTGAAAATACTGTGACAAAAAAGCTTGATTTTAGCTAAATTTGTTGTGTGCAAATTGTACGACATCTGTTTACTACTTAATTGATTCCGGACTGCAAAAATAGGAAATTTAGTCATTGTGCGCCAGATCAGCGCTTGACATCAATCTGTGCTAAACAAATCTGAGAAAAGAGGAATTGTTCGACGCTCCACTCACAGGCATCAAACAGGAATCTTAGAGCCCATCACCACTCCTCTAGCTCTCCATTAATTTGAGCAGGTAAATAAGATGAATGGGTATTTTTATTCTTAAAATAAGATGATTAGATAATGTGCAAATAAAATATTTCTTATTTAGAATGTACATTTTCTTGTTCCATTGGCAAATAGTCTCACTTACCTCCTCAATTCAAGAAAAATATTATTTTAAGAAAAAAATTACTTTTTTAGATGCTGATTTTTTTCCTGTGCATCTTTACAGACAAACTTTTCATGCAGAAACATCTTTAGCTCCATGTAGCTGCAGCTTTGGGGCTGTAGCTAATAAATTATTTGGAAATCGATTAATCTATCGATTCTTTTTTCGATTAATAATCGCAGAGCAAAAGGTTCCTTAAAGAAGATGAAAACTTTTTTTTTTTTATCTTAAA